GGGGCACCTGGGTGTCTCAGTGGGTTAAAGCCTCTGCTTTCCAGGCAGGTCATAATCCCAGGGTCCTGGGATCGAGCCCTAGGTCGGGCTCTCTGCTCAGCAGGGAGCCTGCTTCCCCCTCTCTCTCTGCCTGCCTCTGCCTGCTTGTGATCTCTCTCTGTCAAATAAATAAATAAAATCTTTAATAAATAAATAAATAAATAAATAAATAAAATCTCTTTGGAATCCGAGCTTCCCTACCCGAATAACCAACATATGAACCATAGACTAGAAGACCCCCTCCAACCTTCCCCAGCGTTCTTCCCCCAGGTATGTAGAGCAGACCACAGTGGGCTGCCTCTGAAACAGTTGTTTTATTTTGATGTCCACTGAGGACACAGTTCTGTCCTTCCCCCCAATAAAGTGTTATTTTGGGGTCCAGGGAAAAGAAAGGAAAGAACAAAAAAAAAAAAGGCTTTAACAACAACAACAAAAAAGGCTTTTCTTCTTTGGATTAAGTCTTGAAACTTATTTGCAGGTTTATTTCGCTACTAAGAGAGAGAGCACTTCCATGATACAATGCCAGTGGCTATCAGTGTAACTTGGTCAAGTCCTTCCTTAGTTGGAGTCATATTGTTTGCTAAAAGCTCTGGGACAAGCCTATCTCTTGAATCACTTCTAAAAAGTTTCTGGCCTTATTGCATCTTTGTCTTTAGGCCGTGCTCACAAAAATGCTACCAGGTAGCAAAACCAGGAAAAGATTAGGCTATTTTGTTTTTGTTTTTTTGTTTTTGTTTTGTTTTGTTTTTTAATTTAAAATACAAGGGCGCCTGGGTGGTTCAGTGGGTTAAGCCTCTGCCTTCTGCTCAGGTCATGATCTCAGGGTCCTGGGATTGAGCCCTGCATCAGGCTTTCTGCTCAGTGGGAAGCCTACCTCCTACTCTCTTTCTCTGCCTGCCTCTCTGCCTACTTGTCTGTCAAATAAATAAATAATCTAAAAAAAATAAAATACAGTATCATTTACTATATTTACTTATGCACAATCAGGCTTTGTAGACAGTCAGATAGAGGTTTGAGGGTAAGCTCTTCCTGTCACTGTGATCTTAGGCAAATCAGAAGCTAAGATTCATTTCTTCCTCCCTAAATTGTAAATTATAACTAACACCTATTTCGTAAGGTTATCATGAGGAGTAATAATCATATGTATGAAAGTTGGTTTTTCTGGTTGCATTGAGATTTCCTTAAATAGGGTAAAAATAACACCAGGTAAGTTCCTCCTTTTTATTTTTATGTCATAGAGAGAGACTATGAGAAGTTGAGATGTCGATTAAGTGGATGAAATGGATGAATTTATTAAGAGAAGTCATCTAGTTGATTAAACAAAAATACAGTTGTTCATAACTTAAAGGACTGCCCCATCCTTGGCCTCACTCCTAAATAACTTTATGCTATTTTATGTAAACATGTGGTTCTTGTTTGCCAGTAACCATTTTTTACTGTATTCTATGCTTAAGTACAGTGGGTTGTGTATTTGTAACAATCTTTCAATGCAGATAATTAACCGATTCCCAGTTTTCTTTCAGGTAAATGTTGGAGATATAGTTATAATAAAAGGCAAAGAGTTTATACCTGCTGACACTGTACTTCTCTCATCAAGGTAGAGATACCTACTGATGCTCAAACAGTGTAGAGGATGGTTTCTCTACCCTGCATTGACCTTGTGATTTCTCCAAGGAAATAAGGAATAAACGAAGAATTTAAAACCTCTTTCATGATTGTGAATGAAACATTAAAAAAAATCAATTGGACTTAACGGACTCTTTCATGCTTGCCATATAGAATAAGTGATAGGTACTATACTGTGTAATTCAAAAGTTATAATTACGGTTAGGAGTCTACTCTCTCTGGATATGTCCAGATCCTTTTCTGTGGACCACTAACTCCTAAGATGGCCTGTCATTTCTCGTATATAATACATGGATTGGGTTCTATTGATTTTATCTTGCAATCCTTGTTCATGATCAATTTCTTCATGATGCATTCATATATCCCTCCAAACTTCCTTGATCTTTATAGTGCATTAGTACAAGGAAATGGATGAATGATTTCTTTTTTTTGTCATCATACCTTTGAAATGCCATACTCTTCCAACAACAACAACAAAAAATTATTTTGCTTTTTTAAGTTCTGTCTACGGCTGAATTTTAGATAATTTCTATTTTATTCATCTTTAAGATAGTCATGAATTAGTATTCAGAACATATGGCACTGTTAACCTTTAAAGAATGTGATTTTCAAATGGTTTGGGGTTTAAAAACTGTAAAAGTAGTCCTAATATAAATTAAGAAAAATGTTTGTTTTTTTTTTTAATATCTTAGAGGTTGTTTATCATCATTTCCTTGGACAGTTTTATTTGTAAAATCCACATATAAATATGGACAGTGTCCTTTTTTCAAAATCTGTTTAATCAGGTCATTATTTAAAGTGATTAGATTTATAACAAGTTAGTGAAACTTAACTGAGCAAATAAGAGTTACCTAAAACTGAAGTAGAGGTGCCAGTCCACACGTGCCTGTGTGAGAATGAGCTTAACAGTCAACTTACTGTCGTTGTTCACATTAGGTACTAGAGAAAGCTTTGCTCAGGAGGATACAGAAAACCAGGGTTCTTCTTATCCTGGCTTCATGATTTTGAACAAAACACTTAATCTCTCAGGCCTTGATTTTACATCTTTTAAAAATGAGGAAGATTGGGGCGCCTGGGTGGCTCAGTGGGTTAAAGCCTCTGCCTTCAGCTCAGGTCATGATCCCGGGGTCCTGGGATCAAGCCCCGCATCGGGCTCTCTGCTCAGCAGGGAGCCTGCCTCTTCTCTCTCTCTCTCTCTCTCTCTGCCTGCTTCTCTGCCTATTTGTGATCTCTGTCTGTCAAATAAATAAATAAAATCTTAAAAAAAAAAATGAGGAAGATGGAGTAAATGATCAAGCTCTAATAGTTCCTGACTCTCCTTTGGATTTAAATTTGGTAATCTTCTAAATTTTAAGAATGCCTAGCCAACAGAACCATGTGCCCTTTGTGCTACTAAGTAAAAGGCTGATAAATGTAGTAGATGAGTGACCGTCTCAATGTCATCTGACAAAGTTCAAAATGATAGTGAAGCACTCCAGCAATTTAAGAAAGTAAGGATGTTCTCCTGTTTAAATGTGTCATAGAGACATAAATTACCATGGAGAGTATCATGTATGTGAACCATGACAATATTTATTTTTTGTATGCTCAGAATATGAAGATAGTTGATTACATTGCCCTGACTTTCTACTTAATTCTGAAAGTTTTAAAAATATTTTTCGGCTGCCCTTATCCAGCCCCGAAAGCTCCCAGAAAGCTCGATGCTCAAATTTCTTAAAGTTTAGATCATTGTTATAGGAGTCATTTCCCAACATTAAAAACATTCACTGATGGCTTATAGATACTGTAGTGTAGCTATAGATGTGGTAGATCAAAATGGTGTCTGTATCTTCTTTTTTTTTTGAGGTTTTATTTTTAAGTAATCTCTACATCTAGCGTGGGGCTCAAACTCACAATCCCAAGATCAAGAGTCTTACACTCCGCTGACTCAGCTGGCCAGGTGCCCCAGTATTTTCTCTAACTTAATAGAGCATCCACAGAGATTAACTTGCTCCAAAGATCATTATTTTTTAAAAGAGTATCTGATTCATTGCATTTAGTTATTTAGTAGAATTCAAAGTATAAAGCCTCTACAGTTACATTATTTCTATCTCAGTGGCAAAATACCTGCTTTCAGGTTTGTTTTTTGTTTTGTTTTGTTTTCTCAAAGGTTTTGCATTACACTTGTGAACCTACATTAGCCTTATGAAATAGGTAGAAGTTTTTGACGTCATTTAACAGAAAGTGGAATCTTGACCTTAAGTCTTATTTTTTTGCCATTTAAGTAGCTAATGAGTAGGTCAAATTTGAGATACGTAATCCCTAATCTGATAACCCTCATTATGCCACCCTGGCCGCTATCAGAATAGGGACATGGTGATTCTCACCCGCAGGTGAGCACCATTTAACAGTGAGCATAAGCAACAATTTATAATATTTTAATTTCCGAATATTTTTCAGTTATTAATTACTAATAGTGCACCCACTTTGAGGTAGTTTGATTAAAGCATGAACATTGTTGAAAGTTAGTGTGTCTCATTGGTTTTCACTTTGACATGAAGAAACTGAGGTTTTAATATCTAACAAACAAATACATATATGAGTTTAGAAAGTTTAAAAACAGAGAAAAGTAACTCAAGCTGTTAATTCAGGTCCACACGGGTTCCTGACATGTCTGTTTCATACCCTATGGAAAAGCTTTCCTGCATTCAAAGACTTACCCTCCCAAGACAATGTATCACCAAGACTTTGTTAATTATTGAACAACTCAAAAGGCTGCAGTTATGCCTTCTAACATCCTAAGATCCACATCTTTATAGCTTTGCATTAAAGTTAATGCAGTTAACTTTGAAAATGTTTTGAAATGAGAAAATTTCTAATACTTTTTTTTAGTGTGTGGGTAGGCGTAGGGAGGACCAGTATAGTATACTTGGTTTCTCAAAAGCCTAAAACATGGTTCCCATAATTCTTTCCTTCTTCGGTAGGAGTAGATGGCGTGAGAGTGAGAAATTGGAGAAAAGAAAATCTATAAAATAAGCAGCTCTCTATATAAAATTATGTTTTTATTTGATAAAAGAGTCTTGTGAATAAACTTCAAAACCATCAAAAGTTTCTACATTAAAAACTGAAAATTGGGCTTAAAAGCAAGTAATCCTTGACTATGTCATGTTTTCTTGTGCCTTTAGACCTGATCAAAATAAATTTTGAAAAAATTGGCATTAGACATTTTTATTAACATGTATTATTTTCTATAATAATTTCAAACTTTCTGTCTCTTTTGTCCATTTGTTTGGTTTTTCTTTTTTCTGTTTTTCATTTTTTTTTCCGTTTTAATTATTTTGAACTGGGACCTGTAGGTGGCAGTAGGGGAGATAGTGAAAGTGACCAATGGGGAACATCTCCCAGCAGATCTCATCAGCCTGTCCTCAAGGTTAGAACCACTGAGTCGTACAGGATGTGTGTACGTGGATCCTCACCCTACAACAGACAACAATTACACCCAAAGATGGTTGAATTCAATGTTGCTTCCTTTAAAACACAAAAATGTTGGAGACAGACGTTTCACTGATATTTTAAAAGCCTTTCATGAATATGGTGTTGGATGCTGTTTGTCCCTTGAGGGGCCAGTCAGCTCCTATTGTTAGCAATAGGAGTCTATGAGGCATGACTGTAAAGGTAGATTTTAATCTCCTGTACATCATTAACATATATTCTTATTTAACAACATGCCTAAATACTAAGGCTGCGCATAGCACCTCTCCAGGATACTGTTTTGAACAGTGTGAAGCTTTCCATGAAATGAAGCTATTGAGAAATTTTGTCTTATTCTTATATTTGAAATTTTCTGTAAGTCCTATGGAACCCCTTCAGCAATCATGACTGTAATTTGGGCTCATCTAGGGTTTACAGAGGACCCCCTGCACAAAGCTGGATGTCGTACATTTTGTACTGCATGCTTTGGGATCCATTTTTATCCTACTTGTAACAAGTGACAGAGTGCATGTTACTGCGATCAAGTCCAGCTGTCTACTGGTGTCTGTATTGTGATACGCATCTTGTTTCATTTCTCCACTTACTAATCAAAAAGCCTGCTTTGCCTCTCTGACTGTAGTTTGCGTTTGGGATGTGATCATAATTTGCTGAAATATTTATTATCTAGCATGATTCCTTAAAACCTTTTGCTGCTTTTTCATAACACTATTAAGAACTGCTTCAGTAAGATCTGTCTTAAGGGATAAGCAATGTTCTGAATTTGGATGCATTTTATTTGCCTCACTTCAGACAGAAGTCAGCCATTTGACTTTTTAACTTCCTAGCTGTTTAAAGTACCAGAAGAATTGTTTTGTGGAGAAAAAAAATAGAATGCTATTCTCATTTTAATGTGAGAATGGCTTTGGATATATTGATCAGTAATATTTTAGTGCATTTTATTGCCAAAATACAGAATCTGCATCATTCACTTAGCATTTGCTTGTCATTGTGCTTCTATATTATCAGAAGATATGTTTTATAATTTCAAAAGCCATTTATGTTTCAAATGTATATATAAGTAAGTTACAAATTAGCAGCAGTTACGTAACCAGAGTCAAATTACTATTGTGACAGGAATAAAGGGCAAAATGTTGAAGAAGTGATAGAATGAAAATATAAATACTGAAATAATTTCTCCAGTTGGGAAAAATGTATCAGCCTTTACAGGAGGAAAAAAAAAATGTCCATAGAGTAAATTGAAGAACTTGCAAAGTTACTTTAAAATGTATCTGTAAAATATGTGATCAATGACCATATGTTTCAGCAATTTTCACAAATCTGCAGGCCACAAAACTAAGCTACATGCCCATTTCTGAAATTTGGAATTAGTCTGTTTTGCACATGTACAAATTGAAAGTTGATTAGAAGATTCCAGGTGTTTGTAACTGACAAAATATTTCCTTTCTAACTTCGAAGACATAGGCTCACCCAAGATGACATTTATAGTTACTTATAGGATGTTAGTTAGGTTTCTTTTAAAACCAAGGGTTTATGAGATTGATACCACTTCAGAACACTTTCCCTGATACTCGAGGATCCAATTATACAAGTTGATGGCCAATTCTCCTGTTTGTAATTGCTGGGCACGTAAAGTCAATTTGTGAAGGGGAATGGGGAGGGACATAAACAATCCAGGATATAGACCCTGTGACAGACCAGAGACGCACAGACCCCTTCCACTAGCCACTGCTCACCAGACTTCGCAAAAACACTCTGGGGGGTGCCCCATGAAGGGGATCTTCTAGGTTCAGCTCAAGGAGCAAGATGGCCAAGTTGGCTGGCTTTAGTTTCAGTGTTTTCTCCCACGAGAATCTCTGAAATCACTTTAAGAAATAGAACAGGAGCAGAAAAAAGGAAACAGAGGGAGAAAAGTGTCCATCTACTTTCATGGTAAAATCTGTTCATACACTTTTTTAAAGTAGCCTTAAAATGTAAATATTATCATCTGTATGATCCTATTCATCTTTTCTTAAAAGGTAGTAAATGCAAGTTTGCAGAAGCAGCAATCTGGAGTTCTCTAATCAAACAATTTCCTTTACCAATTTATACATGGGCTACAAGCATGAAATCTCGCTTGGTATTTTTGAGCTGAAGATAAATCTGGACACAAACTACTTTACATTTCAGATGGAGTCTGTGTTGTGTCTATATGGATGAGCAATTTAAGTATCCTATGACAGATCTAATCATTTCAATTATCTTGAGGATCAGTACTGATTGGCGGGAGGAGATTGCTTTTTTGATCGTTCTAGTTGAAAAGCTGATCCATGGGTGGTCATGCATGGGTTCTGCCTCCCAGCATTTAGCAGTTAGAATGAAAATCACCAAGAAACTAGACAGCTAGAGCTTTGTTTAGAACAAAAGACTTCAGTGAGTCTAGGCATTTAAATAAGTTATTATTATGTTTTCCTTCCCCCTGCTAAATGTTCTTGCTTTTCAATTTTAAACAACAGCGAGCCCCAGGCCATGTGCTACATTGAGACATCCAACTTGGATGGTGAAACAAACCTGAAAATTAGGCAGGTAAGATCTAATTTAGGTTTATGTACTATTTGCTGATTTATTAGATGGAATCAAGAGCTTTATTTCTGTTATTGTCTTGAGTTGAAGTAATTCCAATTGGAAATACTTTCTCATCGAGCCACGATGAGGATACCTCAAGTATAATGAAAAGCTCAGATTTGCTTGCCTGATTAACTGTGGTCTATCATCTAGATGCTCTTGCAATATTTTTAATATTTTATGTAATAGGCAACACTGATAATAATATTAGTACTTCTGAGTTCTTTGACAGGGGTGCATGTATTTATTTTCCCTATTCCTCTAGACCAAATCGTAGTATGGCTTTGCCATATTGAAAAGACAGTGTTTCCATTGCTTGTTCTAAAAGTCTCGCTAATCTCAGGGAATAGTTTTAGATTTCTGTATTTGCTTCACATACCATCCCTGACAGAAAGCAAGAGTCATTTAAAGGGACTTTAAAAAATGTACTCTCTTGGGTTCTAGGTGAAGGATGAAGATGACAGGGGGAAGGTTGGGATATGGTAAAAATAGGTCATCATAGCACCCAAACTCAGAGTGCCCGGGGAAGCAGGGGCCCATCCACTTCCTGCTAGTAGAATCTAGTAGGCCAGAGGAAAGAACTATTTCTGAGTTTTCCTTCTCTGTGAACTAAAAGAACAGAAACATACTGACTCTTCTTTGGATGTAGATTCTATTTAGTTTGCATTCTTTTTTTTTTTTTTTTTGGAGATTCATAAGACAGACTATATTGCTAAATATTAATTTTATTTTTGGAAGCAAATAGTTCTTTGAGGACTTCACCGTATCTCTGTGGACAAATTTATGGTCTCAAATACATTTTCCAACTTTCACAAAAGCTGCCCTACTCTTGGGTTCAAGCAGAGAGGAAGGTATCCCCTTAATTATGATCTGGCAAAGAGTATTGTATAAGAGGGGGAGACTTGCTCATAAAATAGTAGGATTTCTTAGATCTTAAGGCCTAGATGAATCAGAATCCCCTCCCTCCCACATGTAATTCATTTAATCTTTTGCTTATTTAAAAATTTCTAAACAGGGCTTACCAGCAACATCAGATATAAAAGACATTGACAGTTTGATGAGACTTTCTGGCAGAATCGAGTGTGAAAGTCCAAACAGACATCTGTACGATTTTGTTGGAAACTTAAGGCTTGAAGGACATAGGTACGTAAAATTGGGCCTCATAAAAACACAGAACTCACTGTGTCTCAAGTGTGTTGCTGAGTGTTTTCCAAGCCTAGGTACATATCTCTTTTCTCATGCTCTAAGTCTGAACGCTGAAAACCTCTTTCTTAAGCAATTCTATATTACTTTCCACCAAGTCTTTTTGCAGAAATCGTAGCTCTTAATACCATGCGTATGGCACCGCTGAAGACTTCCTCAGGATTCCTGCCAAACTGACAGCTGGATGTTTTCAGGGACATGCCAGGCTTCTGGCATGAATACTTGTGTTGTAGGCTTATGTGCAGTCTCCATGGCTTGGGTCCTTATCTGTGATCGGTGGGTGCCTCAAGGAGTTTAGAGTCTACCCCCAAGGATACTGGATAATTTCTTGTCTTCTTCTCTGTGTCATTTCATAGGCTGTTTTCTAGGCCATGTTATCATGTGTAGTTATCTCTGCCATTACCTACCTCCTGCTCTTCTTCTCTTCCCACTTCTGTTCCCTGCCTCTTCCTTCATTGATTCAACCAGTATTAATTAAGCACCTCGTGGGCTAGGCTAGTTACAGGCGTTAAGGAGACTGCAACGAACAAAAGAGATAAATACATATGCCCTTGTGAGCTTACTTTTCTTGCAGTAAGGGAAGGGCAAACAGACAATAAAATGATACACAAGAAGATTTTATACAGCGTTAGAGCGTGATAAAAGCTTTGGGGAAAAAAATAGCACAGGACAAGCCAGATTAGGAATCCTTGGGAGGGAATAACTTGGAGGTAGGACTGTTCTAGTAAGCCTCATTCAGCAAGTAACATTTGAGCCAGGGGAATGGGAAGTGAGGAGGATAGTATATCTGAAGGGAGTATATCCATTCATATATCTGAAGGGAGAGGATTCCAGACAGAAGGAATAGTCCCAGAAAATTACTAGTTATTCTATCACCTTAAAGTGGGAAAGTACCTGGAGTAGTTATTAAATTTCAGGGAAGCCAGTGTGGTTGGAGTGACGTCATGAAGGAAGAGTAGGAAAAGAAAGACCATGCAAGGCTTTGAAGGCTATTGGGGGGTGTTACTCTGGGTGAAATGGGAATCCATTAGAGGGCTTGGGGGGAGGGGATATCAGCCGTTCAGTTTGGGACTTAATATGTCTGTGTCGGGGAAGCAGATGGATATGTAAGCCTGAAGTTTGGGATAGAGGCCTGGGTCATGAGGTAAATGTGGGAATTGTGGGCATAGATAATTAAAGCCTTGGAAGTAGAAGAAATCACTGAGGGTGAAAGGGTGTGGATAGAAAGGTGAGGTATCCCAAGGACTGTCCTGAGACTCTGCAACATTAAGGATGAGAAAAGAGGAGGGACCAGCAAAAGAGACCAAAATCAGGTTGGTAGGAGGGAAGCCGAGATAGTGAGGAAACTGCCACGGTAGAGGGAGTGACTAAAGTGGGTCCTTGTTGTTGCTGGCCAAGTGCGGTGAGGCTGAGAAATAACAGTTGGATGTAGTGAGTAGAAATCCTTGAACTTGGTTAGAACAAGTAGAGCCTAATGAAGTGAATCTGAGATAGGGGAAGGAGTTGAAAATACCAGGTTTAGACAGATTTTCGGAGGAGGCTTGCTGCAAAAGGGAGCAGAAATGGAGCAGCACTTGGCAGGAAGGGTGGATCTTTCTGGTTTCCCTCTTCTTCTTCCCTTCTCTCCTCCCCGGCCTCCTTTACAGTACACCTGACCTCCCGGGTGGATGTAGTGGCTAGCTAAATGCACTAGTTCATTCCACCAGCCTGAGAGATGGACAATGATTTCATTATTTGGTAATTGCATTATTACAGTACTTGAATTCTAAAGGACATTTGAAATACACCCTAAACTGTCCCCCTCATTCAGATCCACCAAAAGCTTTCTTGTAATATGTGAAGTAATTATATATTGTTCTAAAATTTGCACAGAGTGACCTCACAGAGTGAACATATGGTTATAGACTAATAATAGAGTTGGTCCTTTATATAAGTAATGTTTCTATAGTCTGACATTCCTAACTGGCCAGCTTCCATCTCTTATCAGTTCCCCATCAAAATCAATGCCAAGCAGTTCCACACAGTGGAAAAGAAACTTGGTATGATCGTGCCAAGATTTAGGGTACAGATAGAATTTATATAATATGCTTTAAAATATATGAAACATGGAAACATACCTTTGTATTTATAGCACATTTGACGTTTACAGTGATTACCCAGAGCTCGTGGAGCCCCTTTCTTTGGAATGAGTGTTCTTTGATTCCATTATTAAGGATGAGAGTCATTGTCTAATGCCAGAATTTTTGCAATTTCAACTCTGATGAAATCTAATAACTAACTCTTGTTGAATCCTTGTAATTGAAAAGTAGTATTTTTTTTGTCCTTTGAAGAGATTTACCTAATTCCAATCCACACCATAAATGCTGAGCTGACAGCTGTCCTATTAGACTCCACTGTATACGTAAGGAACAGTTGGCACCTATGTACCCCAGAGCATGGTCTAGCAGCTTTCCAAGAACTTCTTGGAAATGTGCTTTAGGCCCAAGGTCCCCTCCCAACTCTGAAATGCACGCCAAATCTTGAGGTATACACAAGAGGGGTTCCCTTCCAGATGGGTTTGAGAGGCATGCTGTTGTGCAGAAGGAATGAGAATTATAGACGCTGTGTTCTTTTTCTAAATAGGCATATGCTTTTTCCTAGGGGTTTATTTAAGTAGAGGCCTTTAGGTGAGGTTATTACCCACCCATCTGGATTGACTTCACCTGAGCCAGTGACCTTTGCATAGTTCCTGAAAGAAGGTCTAAGGCCCAAGCTGTTACTGGCTCTAGACACCTACCAGGCCATAAAAAGCCCCCCAAAAATGAAAGATTCAATCTCACTTTACCTCTACTGGCCAAGAGGTTCTGTGTTCTCTGGAGACTTCTTAGGAGGCTTCCTTCTTTTTCCAGAAGTTTGGGGATTTTTCTGATGAATTTTTCTTTATATTTGACATTTCTTTCTTGCTTTTCTTAATACTAAAATGAAGACCTAGTGCTAGGAATCTTTGAGCCGTTACATCTCATATAGTACATTTCCATCAAGAATCCCACTACATCTGTGATGGCTTGTACCTTTGTGATATCTTTGTGTGAGGTTGTGTCAACCAAACAACCTACCATAGTGGGTAGTTTTACCAAGAACCCACAGAAGACCCAATGTGGCCTTCATTCATGAAAAAATGTGGTTTAAATTATATGGAATGGCTATCCTCAATATGCTGTCACTTCAGAGAAATGTTAAAGACTTAGATGCTTACCATTGATTGGAAACTTATTCACAGTTCTTGGAGAATTGATATTCAAATATAATAAATTACCCTAGAGATTTTAAATACAGGACTTATCTCTATAGGGCAGGGATGGCAATGCAAATGTATGATGAGATCTGTGTATTTACCTTGCCTTGTCTATTTTTTGAACCTTTATTATGCACAAAGCTATTTATAATTAGGCGTGGGAGAGGGAGCAGATCCCCTAACCTCACCACTTCCAAACATCTCAGAAACCTAAACAGACTTACTAAATCAGGAAAAGTCTTAAATAGGTTTGAAAATTAGCCTCTGAATCCCAAAACATTGCCTACTATCTTGGATTGTGAAGTTGTAGGAAATGGCTGGTTTGGTGGTAAGGAGAAGCAACTGAAATGCGTCTCTCCAGCTGTCCTTGTGTAAAACAAATTATTCGTACTGGTAGGAAAATTACTTCTTTTTCTAAAAATAAGGTAAATGTGAGAAGGGCTGGCTATTTTAATAGCAGAACCTCCGTTGGAACTCTGTAGTAGCTGTAGAATTCTTAAGCACTTGAGAAAATGTTGTTTCTAATGTCAACATCATCTGTCATAGCACTGTCCCCCTGGGAGCAGATCAGATTCTTCTTCGAGGCGCCCAGTTGAGAAATACACAGTGGGTTCATGGAATAGTTGTCTACACTGGACATGACACCAAGCTGATGCAGGTGGGATTTTTTATCTATGAAAAACCTTGTGGATCTATTCTCTTGAAAATGTGCTATTTGTAGCTCTCTATGCAGTAGTCCCAAATATAGCAGACCCATCTGTCACAGACTCCTGAGCCCTACTCTGTACATTCAGAATCTCGTTCTTCAGTGTTTAGGGCCATAAAATGGCTCATGTGCACAAGAATACTGGAAAGTTTCATTCGAGACCAGCAATGCATGAACTGTTAATGATTTCTTGTGTTGATTCCATTTACTCTAACAGGTTGATACTATTGTCTATGCAATGACATGTTCTACATGAAAGTAGTCTGTGTTCTACATGAAATGTGCTCTACATGAAAGTATTTATCTTATAATCTTGTTTTAAGACTGTGATCAAATTTTATAACTGTTTTCATTTTTTCATAAAATTAAAAGAAGGATTTGTGAGCCAAATGTTGACCCCTTTTTGCTAACATTTTTATGTTAAGCTGTTTTTAATGGACAGAAACCACCATTACTGATTCCACCATAACCATAATGATTCGACCTCTCACCATTCTATAAATTCTGTCAACCATTATTTTATATCTATTATGACAGATTTAATTTTCTGTTCTATAGATGCCTTGGTTAGCATGATCGTTTTTATCATTGACCAAAGCTGAGGAGACTGACTTCCGTTATTCTTTATAGCCAGGACTACTTAGACCATGGCTGTGATCAGTAAAACAGTTACTGAACACCACCAGAAATCTGGAAACCAGAGGTCCTTCAAATGAGACCTTCATATTTTATAACTTCCAAGGGTTAGGGTACAGAGGCCACCTTCTCTGTCTCTCTTCCTGAGCTGAGCTGCCAAGTACCTCTCCTCTACCCTCTTTGCTTCAGTAGTCAAGTAATGCCTTCTTCACCTTCCCCGCCACAATGCCAAAGTTATGTCTCTAAAAGGAGTACTATTTCCTTCTCTTCTTTTTATTATTTTATATCCTAGAAAAAGGCTTGAGGTATAGTGGACTAAAGGGAGAAAAAAAAATAGATGGCTAACATTTGACAGCTTATTACAGCTGTGATTTTTTTTCTGTATAATTTTCAAGTGTCTACCCATGTCTAGATTTTGAGTTGTGACTGACTTTGTCATCTTCATCAAAATACCAAATAGACATTACTCAATCAATGTGTACACAATTTTTTAATTGCTCATCTTGTCTCTTTTTACAGAATTCAACAAGTCCACCACTTAAACTCTCAAATGTGGAACGGATTACAAATGTACAAATTTTGATTTTATTTTGTATCTTAATTGCCATGTCTCTTATCTGTTCTGTGGGCTCAGCCATTTGGAATCGGAGGCATTCTGGAAAGGACTGGTATCTCAACCTAAATTGTAAGCATTAAAGGGCCTGTTGTATTTATTTTTTTCTTTCATTAAAACATGCATTTGTTTCATGCTGATGGGATTTCCTATAATTCCTAAAAAGAAAACCTTGTTGGCAAGATAACTGGGCATTTAATTTTTATGTTTCAATGCAGTTTCCAGTAAAAGAAAGTAAAATGTTGCTAGAGTCTCCAAAATTTCAGAATCCTTAAAAATGATCACTCTAGAGTAGTATAAAATGTTTGTTCATTTATATTATTTTCATTAATGTTATTCATTCTTTAAAAATATTTTAACACAGGTGGTAGGATAGTTACCTGGTGAAGAAAGCAGATTGATTATATTTAAAGCACCAGAAGTAGAGCACATGCTTATAAAAAGTTTAAATTGAATATCCTTTCATTTGAACTCATGAATACAGTAAATTCCATGTTAATGGTCATCTTGTCTTAGGGAAAGCCTATTAAATATGGTCTTTTTGGACCATCTGCCCTTTTACTATTGTGGGATGTGGGATTAATGTACTATCCCTGAATATTTCTGGAAAATAAGTTTGCATTGCCTTTTAATGAGTACTTAACCAATAAATACTTAATTTCCAGAAGCGTGAAAACAAATTCTAGTAAACCTTGTAGCAAAATCGATTTTTTTTTCAGTTTTTATCCTATTGATTTTTAGTTTTGTGGCTATTCCAACTTTTTTTTTTAACATTGATTTATGATTTCAACATCGGAACTATTATGACTCCCATTGGTTTGTTTCTTCATATACTTCACAGTGTGTCTGCCATAGCGGTTCTATTTTCATTATCAAAGAGGCAGGGTGTGATTTACCTAGGGAACAGCTCTACATTGTTTTTACTATTTGGATTAGTTTTGCTGCTGTTTTGTCTGATTACTTTTAAGGCATGCTTTATAAATCAAAGGTGCTTTTTTAATAATTTACATAAAAATGATTTTGCCCAGTGGAGATTTTATATTTATAAACCCACAATCCTGTCCCTGATATCTCTAAACTTCCTGTGTGGAACAGGATTTGAAACACTGGGCAGTGCTTTCATTCGTTAGTACCATTATGAAGTTCTTAATAGTACTACCAATGTACTGATCCGTCTTGAATGTATTTGAGAATAAGGATATGCTATCAGCACAGTGTTCCTCCCAAACTATCTAGAGATGTTGTGTAATATGGAAAACTTCTGTTATGCTGAAGTTCTGGTCAACACAAATGAAATACTTGAAACTACAAATGACTTTCTTCCCACCTCCCTCAACAGATGGTGGTGCTAATAATTTTGGACTGAATTTCTTGACCTTCATCATCCTTTTCAACAATCTCATTCCAATCAGCTTACTGGTTACATTAGAAGTGGTGAAATTTACCCAGGCATACTTCATAAATTGGGTAAATATGAATTACTGTTTTTCATCATTCTAAATATATGTTTTGTCTTTTTTTTTTTGATAGGGTCTTTTGAGGATTTTAATTTTTTTTAAAAGATTTTATTTATTTATTTGACAGAGATCACAAGTAGTCAGAGAGGCAGGCGGAGGGTGGGGGGAAGCAGGCTCCCTGCTGAGCAGAGAACCCGATGTGGGGCTTGATCCCAGGACCCTGGGATCATGATGTGAGCCAAAAGCAGAAGCTTTAACCCACTGAGCCTCCCAGGCGCTCCCAAGGATTTTAATGTTTTTTAAGTAATCTCTACACTCAGTGCGGGGCTTGAACTCAAGACCCCAAGATCAAGAGTTTTGTGCTCCACTGACTGAACCAGCTGGGCAGTCCCCTCATAGTGTCCTTTGATCTCTCTGAAACAAAATCTTGATGATACTTTCCCTTTTATTGACTGCAAGATGGCATTTCAAAATATTTTTAACTCTAATATGATGATAAATTCATTTGACATGTAAAAATCAATAGCAAAAACTCTTTATCTTAAAATCACACAAGTTTATAGATTAGACATTCTGGGGAACGAAGTCTCCAGTTAAGAAAACCTATTTGGGGTTATATAATAGTCTTGGGGAAAAGGAGAACCATGAGGTTGAGAGTTAAAATATCTGGATTATCATTGTAGTTCTATAATTACTAGCTGTGTGAACTTTGCCAAGCCACTTGACTTCTTTGAGACTTATTTTCTTGGGCCTTTAGACAGTAATGATAAAACGTACTTTACCAGCATCTCACAGTGGTAATACAGAGCAAAGGAATCTCACAGCATAGCAAACAGCCTCCTAAACAATGAAGTGCTCTAGAAATAACACTCTTCACTGCTTGTTACAACCAGGCTTTCAGTCTTGTTTTATATACCTATGTAGTTTATTTTTCCCCCACTGTAAACAAATTCAGCTGTGCTTAATTTTTTTCTTCTTGAATTTTTTTAATCTTGGAAAAATGTGCTGGACATCTGTTCCTTAAATATTTTGTTTATACAATGTGTTGTTCTTAGTTTTATTTTACCAAAGTTAAAATTAATGAATTTATGTAAATTAAATAAACCTTCAGACTTAATCTGCCAGAAAGTTGAATTTTTCTTTTATTTTGGGAAATTTGGGTATTATCTTTTGAAGTTATTTTTTTAAATTATTTAAAAGTCTTTCAAGAGAACAATATTAGGATTTTTAAAAAATATAACTGAGGATGCTTTTGCCACTGCTCACTACCTTCCCATGGTAAGTGATCCACCTCACCTGTCAAATTGTCTAATTCATTGGTACAAGCCCAGTAGAATTTAGAAATCTAAAATGAGCTGCAGGTGTGGCTTATTTCATGCAGGAAATGTGTTGCTGAAAAATTATGTAGTAACATTTGTGTAAATACAATGAAAACCTATTGAGGTTTCCCACTTTGCAATAAGAAATCATAAGGTGACTCATTTTAAAAATCAAATAACTAGTTAGTCACTTTATTTTTTTGTACTTGGATTTTTAAAAGTAATATTTGCTTCAAATAATGACATAATTTGAGTATTGGAGGAGGCCAGCAGGCTTATGCTATTCAACCACATTTCTATTGTACAGAGATTCGATAACATTGCTGACAGGTCTTTTACCAGCCAGCAATTCTGTGAGTAGAAATGAGATCAGTAACTGCCCCCCCTTTGATACTGATCTTTTAGGAAAATGTCTAATCTTGTTTCTGAATGATAACTTTGCAAAGTATTAGAATTCAGGTAGGGTGCCTGGGTGGCTCAGTTGGTTAAGCATCCCACTCTTGGTTTTGGTTCAGGCTGTGATCTCAGGGTCATGAGATCGAGCCCAGCATTGGGCTCCATGCTCAGGATGGAGTCTTGCCTGAGATTTTCTCTCTCCCCCCACTAACATGCACTCTTTCTCTCTCTCTCTCTCTCTCTCTCTCAAATAAATAAATCTTCAAACAAAAACAATGAACTCGGCTGCATGCCTTTTCTTCTATCACCTCTTCCCCATCTCCTTCTGTTCCTTATCAGACTTGATGATCAAGGAAGTCCAACTTACTCCCCGTTCCATTCATTCCTCTTTGAACATGGCTTAATAGCCTTCTTAGAACAAGGCTCCTACAAGTCAACAGCCTACTTCAGAACTGAGGCAGATCAGTCTGAAATGCAGACGTGGGAAAGACCAGATTCGTCCTTTTCCTTTGACTTGTAAAAATCTGTTAACCCTGACTTGGCAATAAAATAGTGTACTCTGGAAAATACTACTTCTTATAGGCGTAAGAGTCAAGCCTCATATTGTTTGGGTACAGAACAAGTACAAATTGGTACAAAAGCTCTACATTTTTGTTTGGGTTTTGAGAAGTGCACTCCTTCTGCTTTCAAGTATATGCACTGGAAGGAAGCAGATCCAAGAAAGTATAACCAGATAGAATCTCTTAGGTAATTTTCCTAGGGGTTTAAAAATCTACATATTTTAGCTGCATTAAGTACTTATGTTGTGTCAGATGCTTTAGGAAGAACTTCACGTACATTATTTTATTTAATCCTTACCACATGTCACCTATCTAGAAAATGGTAGAATTATGAAAAAATTCAAGATTACCCGATTGCAGAGATACACTCCAATTGCCATGCTGTCCTGCCCTTCCTGTGAAATATAATATTCTCTACTGAGTACTTTTCAGGGAAATCAACTGAAACGGTGTAGAATGGCCAGAGATGAGAGTGGCTTCATGTTATAACTCACTAGTTAAAGAAAATTTCAGTCAATCTCTTGTTACCAATTGCATTTAGTAATTTCTTTTATTTACAAAAAAAAAAGGATCTCGACATGCACTACGAACCCACAGACACTGCTGCTATGGCTCGAACGTCGAATCTGAACGAGGAACTCGGCCAGGTAAACTGAATTTCTTGTTGATATGTTAAATGGGACGTCAGATTCATTGTCATTTCTGCCATAGGTGGCAACTTCATATGAATTGACAGCTCCTAATTTCCCATTATTTGGATAATCTGCATAAATACATGTTAGTACATAATTACCATTTTTAGTAAACGAAGTTTTAAAAACATTTAAAATCTATTTTGCTCTCAGATAAGGTATTACACGAAGGGATTTCCTTCAGCATATAATCTAGTTAGTAGTAAAGTATTGGCGATTTTTGAGTGATAAACTCTCAGTATTAAAATTGCTCATAGCTTTTGACCAGAAAGGAAGAAAAAGTTAACTTGATCACTGATGCTATGTAAGTCAAAGTATGAAAGTGATCAAACAGGAATTTTAGATTTATAATTCATACTGCATTCACATATGTGTATATCTTTGTAATCCATATTTACATACTAGCTCAGGAAAAATTCTTATTCTGTATTCTTGCCATTTGCTATTTCTTTTCAAATAGCATTTCTGCCAGAATTATCCTTTTTCGTACCAATCTGGATGTTATATGAAGTTAATTGCACAAGCCTTTACTAATTCTGTAATTGTTATGGTGAGAAATCCTGGTAGATGTTTTAGTGCTCCATAAATGTTAAGTCACAGTAGTGGCAATTTCTAGTGGAAATTCAGACCATGTTAAGGCAGATTTCTGTATGGCTGCAGTTTTTCTAGCATCTTGATAGTCTTTACGGTTCATACATGAAATGATTCATTGCTAAAATACTAAAAAAAAAAAAAGTCAAACATATTTCTTAATGAATGCAAAGAAAATCATCAATTAATAGCATTCATTGTGCCCATATAATATAACAAGATGGATAAAAAGAATTATTTAAGGGGCATTTCCCCCCTCTGTGAAAGACTGACAAAAAAAGACTTCTGAAATTTTAATGAGAAATTTTAAACTTTTTTTTTTTTTTTTTTTTTAGGTAAAATACATATTCTCTGACAAAACTGGTACTCTGACCTGCAATGTAATGCAGTTTAAGAAGTGCACCATAGCTGGAGTTGCTTATGGGTGAGTTTTTTCCCCCCTTTAATTAGAATGTGAAACACACATTTAATTAGTGCTAATAGTTTGGCATGTTTTGAGAGTTCTTACTAGTGGAAATTTTTTTTTTTTTTTTACATAAAAAGCCCCTGTTTTAACTTTAGCATACATGTATGTTTTGTGTTACAGTTTGAAATTGTTTTTCGTTTGGAATTACCTATGAGGTGGAGGTTCTACCCAGTAGTAGTTCCGTGTTTGGAGTTTGCTAAAGGTCTCTATCTGGCTCTGGTCATGAAGTAAAAATACAGTGTCCGCTACATTGCCATGAAGTTAGAGTACAATGTCGTAATAACATAGAGAGTGTCCTTGGGTAGTTTTCAACGATGTTAAAATATTGTTGTTTCTCTGATAGTTACGCCTTTGATTTGCTTTTTCTTTTATTGTCTCTCCTCTTTGCAATCACAAGCAATCTAAATTTCTGACGGTGGGAAGAAGGTGGGACATGAAACTCTGAAATCTAGTGTGTAATGTGTAATACCCTCAGAAACTTTTATCCGGCTCCTAATGTCCTTTACAATATGCTTGTTAAGAGTCCATTTATTTCTTTCTTTGAGTTATGTTTACCTAAATCCTTCAAAAGCCTTCTTTCTGAAATACTTTTTAGGATAATGTGACTAAATTAATCTGTACATTTCCAAAAAGGATGTGATCAAAAGATGAAACTTTCCTTGGTTGGAGTGACCTTGACCGTGACCTTGACCATGACCTATTAACAAATTCTCCAACTATCCTTATCTATAAGTGAGACTGGGAAATACTGATCCCTCAACCATTTAAGCAAGAGCACTTTCGTTTGGGTTTTCTGGTTTGTACTCACTCTTTCCCACTCACACTCTGTCTCCAAACAGTAAGCTAGTATAAAAATAATGTATTGAATTTTGAAAACGCCTTAGTTAAAATTACAAATAAATTACCATTTGGTAAAAAATTCTAGAAGCAATGGTTATTCCTATACAAGGGTCTACAGAGAGAAGTAGATGGAGGCAGATACCCTATTCTTTGGGTTAGCAGATAGTGTGACTAAAATTGACTTCAAACTGTATGTGTAAATGAAGCCGAAAAGACATTTGATTGAACGGCTTTTTCACACTTTGGGAAGATGGGATGTTAATTTAAGAAGCATACTTACTGTTTCCAGGGCTGGATACCATTTTGTATCTTTCCTCTTTATCTGAAGTTCTCCCAACTCCCCTAGAAAAGGCTGTCGTTACTCCTCCCCACCACTTGCTACCAGCCTTGTAATTTGGTTAGCTGCCCTAGAGGGGGACAGGCAGCCATACTTGTCGGTGTCATGCATATTTGACCCACAGGTATGCCAGGCAAGAGAAGGAGAGGCAGACTGTAATTCTGGAGTGTATTGTATTATCCTTGCTGACAGACTCGTGAAGACTGTTTTATAAAAAATCTGCATTCATAAGTGAATTTGTTTTTACTTTGCCAGTTTCCAATTGAACAAGCAAGTTCTATAAATGAGTAAATATTGATTGTGAACTTACCAGAACAGAAAGCTAGAATGAGATCTAGCCTGTCTCCTGCATTCAGTCAAGTTTTTTCTTATTCTTGCAACAAGCCCTTAAACACGTCCAGGCACTAGTTCTAAAGAGCAGTGTTCTTTCTGGATCTGTTGGTGATATTATCATTGACAACCCTTATGTGATAGGGTCGGTTTGAGACTGGTAAATATTAAAGAAGTATTAAGAGTTAAGAACGGTCATCATTTAGATTAAGTTTCCAGAAAAACAATTTTTCTCTTGGGCAAATAATATCTCTTAATATTGAGGGGCAGTCATAAGATATGACCTCTAGTTCTAGCTTTGTCACTAATCTACCATGAAACTATCAGTAATTCCTTTCAAATATTCCAAATTCCTTAAACTGAGGATAGTGAGAGAAGATAATCTCTAAAGTCGTTTTCCAGGTATAAAATTCTAGATATAAAAAAATGTAAAAACATGTTTTATTAGAATTTTTTAAAAAGGTATTCTTTTGTTTGCCAATTTTAACTTACATAAACAGAAATACATTTCTTTCTTGGGTGCTATATCATGTTTTTGAGAATACCAGAAGACTTGCTGAGTGAAGCAAGTTGTTAAACTGCTTCCAATAATCACGTAGTGTTGTGTATGTGTGTTTAGGATCTTTAACCCTCATTTTTTTATCAACATCCTCTCCCCCAAGCATCCTGATGGGCATTTGGAACGTCAACATTATATCATAGAGAGTGGTTGATAGAGGAAGTTGTTTGTACAGGAGACTTCAGATGCTTAGGTGTTTACAGTAAGAGACACACTACTGTTCCTTAATTCCACCAAACTCAGCAAGAAACGTAGTTACTGTCAGCCATCTTTCTGTGGCAATTTTCTCTGGCCACTCTTGGCTTATCGGAACCCAGAGGGGAAATAAAATGGTTTTGCAATCCCTTTTGCTCTGTTGCAGTGTTAACACTTGTTTAATATGGGGAACTATTAAGTACATGTACCTTCAACTCTAGTGGAAGAAAGCATGGTGTTATATCTCCCCAGGACAAACCAGAATAAAGGAGAACATCCCACATTTTCATAAATTAACAAATGTTTTTGGGGTTCCAATTTCAGAACAGATCCTTGTTAAGCATTTTTAAGAAGATAAAGCCTAGTTTTACCCTAAATAGAGTTAGAGGTGAGTTCGGTTGACTTTTATGGGTCTGAAGAGAGGACTTGAAGTATCTTCATTTTTGCCTATTATTCCTTAAATTTGTAAGACGATAAGATTTAACACTTAACACAATGCTTCAAAATTTAATCTTGGTAATTTTTTTCTCATTTTCACATAACCACTGCCCAAATTGGATTCATCATGGGCATCAAAATAAAGATCTGTACATATGTAGCAGTGGTGATGATTTTGTCAGACTTGTCAGAGATGCTACTGTGTTTAAACTTACTAGATTGTTTCATTAGATCTTTCTTCGATTAAACGTAAATTGATGTCATCTGTAAATTTAACTTACTACAAACTAGAAATTCTACTGCTAAACATTTGTTAAAGTACCATTTCAGTAACTTCCTTTCTGTAAGAAATGAGTCAAATTTACCAAAGTAACTGGAATGCCAGGAATGGGTAAAGAGGCTTATCTGTTCCATGGCCAGGACTTTCAATACAGTGAATGTAATAGGCTATAATCCTAGGTATCATCTTTATTGGTAATTTGGACCTTACTATTAGAATGAGCTGATGAGCTGGGCAAAGCTTTACAGAGTACAGGCTCTGAAGTTGTAAAAAAAAAAAAAAAAGAAAAGAAAATTCTAGTAAGCCAACTAAAGAGTGATTTTTTTGCATTAGTCATTTAATCAGTGTTAAAAACATTTCATTGACATTTTCCCCGTAAAAATCTCTATGTAGCAATCTCTATGTACATATGAATATAATCTATGAATAGTTTAACATGACCATATTTTGTTTAATAATATGTTTGCTGAAAGGATCAGTACTTCAAACTGAGAAGAGAGTCATCACAAGAAAGCTCACAATTACCATAAAACTTAGCCCCGAGGTCTAGATTATAACCAACAAATTTATCTGACTGCCCACCACGGTAAGAATTGAGTAAATGCCATTCATTTGTTCATTTATATGCTTCAACAAATATTTTTATCTCCTCTGTGTATGTGGCACTTTGTTAAATGATGGGGTTGTAATGATCAGCAAAAGTTCACATCGTTTCTGCCCTCCCGAAGTTTATAGTCAAATTGGGGATTAATGGGTGTTAATTAAGTAATTAAAGATAAAACACAGTGCAGAGGTCCACGTGAGTCTATGATGAGGATTTGATCCAATCAGGCAGGTCAGGGACTGGTCCGTGAGAAAGCGATCCTTGAGCTGAGATGTAAGAATGGGTTTGATTAAGCGAAGACCTTACCAGGCGGATACAGCAGTATTGACATGCACACAAAGGCAAATGCCCAGATAGCACATATACACCAGAGCTGCCCCAGCAGCAGTCCTGGGGAAACTCTCGCACACAGGGGCAGTAGCAGGCATGTGGGTCTCCTGCTGCTCATCACATTCTGAGCAGCATCTGCCAGGGCTAGACCCACCCCAGGAGAAGGGACCCTGAGTCTCAAGCTTTGCATCTTTTAAGCTATATTACTAGACATGTACTGGCCTCTTTCCTGATGTGAGATCGGGGACTGCCGTCCAGCACCAGTGCAACATAACAGAACCTTAGCACAGTGTTTTTGCTTGGGTAGCACTGGCCTCCGCTGGTACAGTCTGGGGGTGGCTAGAGTCCAAGCCTTGAGGTTGATCAGAAGTGATTGCCTTAAGCGCTGGGCTGCAGCCAGTTTCCACAGAGCTTTGCAACGGGTCATCATTTTTTCTGGGACTCCAGCCCACAGGAGGCTCGGTTAGCCCTTCCTCTCAAGCATCCACAAAAGTCATTTGGTGCAAGAGAGAATAGTGAGTAGAGGGGACTGCCTTCATTGTGACTAATGACCGTGGATACCGCACTGGAAGCAGTTTCCTGCTTTGCAGGTGAAAGAGGTGCCTTCTAATGGTGAGGCTCGTGCCGCAGTGGGTTTGGTGGAAGGATAGAGGGAATGGGATGGAGACAGAGGGAGTGATAGGACTCCACGGGTTTTCAGTGAAATTTGTATCTATCAAAAACAATGAATCACTCTACATTTACATTATTGAACTCCACATTTTTTTTAAACTCAGTTGATAGCTAATAAATTTAAAGAGAAAATATTGAATGGTCATATATAGTGAGAGAAATGAAGGATAAGACAATGAGTTCTGGCCGCTAAGAGAATAGATCTTGAATTTTCCCACCCTACCCACACACACACAATGGTAATTATGTGACAGATGCTGGTGTTAGTTCCCACTGTGAAGGTAATCATATCAAAGTATGTAAGTGTATCAAATCATCATGTTGCATCCCTGAATCTTGTGCAGGATTATACATCAATTATATCTCCACAAAGCTGGAAAAGATTTGAACAGTAAAAAGAAAAATGTAATAAATACATAAAAGAAAATCTGCACTGTTATATATCCTTTGACTGAATACACAAGTGACTGCTGGAAACAAAAGCTGTACATCAGTCAGACTTTTCCTGGTGCTTAAATGAGCCAAAGGAGGAAATTAAAATTATTAATGAATGTATTTTCTGTTTGAAATAACAAATGGCTTAATGAGTGAATTATGGTTTAGGTGAAAAATTTTGAGGATCAGTTCATCTTTTAAAATACGGTTCCATTTAATTATAGAAATGTAATTAACTTTTACTTTAATATACCTGTTTAAAGACCCATTACTTTATGATAGTCAAATTTGTTTCTGAAATGTACTTGGCAAATTTTATCAGTATAATTGTTTGTTCCTAAGTATTAGTAAGTTTGTTTCCTTAAAACACTTTATTCTGATGATAGAATATGTACTTAATTTTCCATTGGTTTTAGCATGTGTTTAAACCTCTAGGTTAAAACATTTCTTAATGAATATTAATCAGTTCCACAACCAAGAAGCGAGTTGACTGTCCTGTTAAAGAATAATTTTGTAAATCTTCTTAGCTACCATATATTGTGTTCTACTTACTATACTAATTGCCATTCTTTCAGAATCAACTAAAAGTTCATTTTCTTAACTTTTTCAAGATCCATCTTTCAGTACTTCCTTTACTCCTGCTTTTATGTTTCCAGCCTTTCTGTGATGATTTTTTGCTCTCTTTCTGTCCCTCCTCTTCTGAAGCCATGTCCCTGAACCTGAGGATTATGGCTGTTCTCCCGATGAATGGTAAGCTGCATGGACCTTTCTGTCTCATGGATTCCTTTAAAAAGTTTGCATTTCATTGTTTTGATAAACACATTTCACTAGTTTTGGGGGGGAAAAGGCATTATTGATCAGGTGAGGTCAGCGTGCTATAAAGAACATATTTCTTGAAATCCCGTGACTGTCCTTGATTTCCTATTGCATAACCTTTAGTCATTTTACAGACATTTAGTTTAACAGTTAGGCTTGCGAGAGTTTACATTATGTATCCATAATAAAGTCTGTAATGATCAACTTGGGGTCCCTGGGCTGTGAACTAGCCAAGATTTACTAGAGCTCGAGAAGTTTTCTCTTTTCTAGCTCAGCACTGCCATCTTCTGCTGCAATTTATATTCTCTACCGAGCCACAAAAAGACGCTACTGAAACCTACCCAAGAAGCAGAAATTTCCTTTACGTCCCTTTTCATTAGTTTAGTAAATCTATATGGGGGCTAGAACGTGAACATTTTCAAAAATAAATGCCTAGAACAAATGTTGGAAGACTATGCTGCCAAGGACTAAAGTTAACTGAAATATAAATAATTTTAGAATTATTAGAGATGTCGCTTTATAGTTTTAATGTCCATGCTTTTGAGGGGTTTTGCTTGTTTTCCCTTAAAATCCCTCCTCCGTGGATTTAACATTTTCATTTAGAACAGGATAAGTTTGCTTTGGTATTTCTCGAACTCATCATGATTTGGTGACCAGCGAAACTTCAGAGAACAGGTTCTTTTAATGCTGGTAACTATAGAACCCATTGTGGTTTTAGAAGGGGTTATATTTTTATTTTCAGGTTGTACATGTGTTTATGATTTGACCACATGTCCAGTATGCATGGAAGTCCAGTAACATCATTTAATATTTTTCAACTTGACTTTGATTTCAATACAGTGGAGCTTTGATAACAATTTGCAGCTAAACTCGGACCCATAATAATGCCAGAGGCAGTTGTTTGATTCATGTGGTATGTGATGAGTCGTCACATTTAAACTCATTGCTTGGAGTGTCATCCAGTTTTGACACCTACATGCAACTGAATAATTTTTAGCTTTTTAAAAAATGTTCCAAAGATTCTTACTGCTGGTGGATAATTTAAGTTTAATGCAGTAGCTATTCCCTTTTAGTTAATCCTTCAAGAATGTAGTAAAATTTTGTGACTATATCTATTTATTGTTTTCCTATAACATTAATACAATTCTATTGATTGTCAATAGTGTTCACTCGTATAGAATTAATATAAATTTTTCTAAGAACTCTTATTCTTAAGGAAATTGACTGTAGCCTATTTTTACGAAGGTTGAATGGAAATGTAAAAAATTGTTGCTTATTTACTCAGATCATTTAAGATATCCTACTTTCAATAGAAGTTGTTTTGTGATTTCTATCACTTTTGGAGAGGATACCGTATTATCTAGTTAAGATCTCTTTGTAAAAAACTCTGCTGGAAAATTTGATGTTTGAAATTCTAAACTAGATAACTCCAAATAAGAAATGCCAGATTTTTCATAAATTATATGATTCTGCTTAAATATTAGTATTTTTTTTTTAAAGATTTTTATTCGGAGCCCCTGTGTGGCTCAGTGGGTTAAGCTTCTGCCTTCAGCTCAGGTCATGATCTCAGGGTCCTGGGATTGAGCCCCACATCAGGCTCTCTGCTCAGCAGGGCGTCTGCTTCCCACCACCCCTGCCCCCAGCCTGCATCTCTGCCTACTTGTGACCTCTCTGTCAAATAAATAAATAAAATCTTGAAAAAAAAAGATTTTTATTTATTTGTCAGAGAGTGAGAGCGCAAGCAGAGGGAGAAGCAGGCAGAGGGAGAAACAGGCTTCTTGCTGAGCAAGGAGCCTAACACGGGACTTGATCCCAAGACCCCTGACATCATGACCTGGACCAAAGGCAGACACTTAGCCATCTGAGCCACCCAGGTGCCCCTAAATATTAGTATTTTTAAAAATAAACGATAGGGAAGGCATTTACCACCTTTATAATAAAGTGAGCTTTATTTTAAATAAAGCTGAGCTTCTGAGATTCCTCGTCTATCAGACAGTTACCTACAGGCCTGCAAGGATGAAACAACACATGCTACTCGAGTTTCTGTTCTGTCCTGGCCCACTGCAGTGGTCAAAGATGCAGACTTCGGATTCTGACCACCCCAGTTCACATCCTGATCCTATTGGTGCCCTTGAAAAATTATCTAATCTCTCCGCCTGCCTGTCTTCCTCTGCTAGAATGTGGACATCATAGGGAGGTTGTGAAGATTGACTAAGTTCTGTTTTTATTTTTACTTTTTTTTTAAGATTTATTTATTTGAGAGAGTGTGTGTGCGTGTGAGCATGGGGGCGGGGGCAGGAGCGCGGGCAGAAGGAGAGGGAGAATCTCAAGCAGGCTCCATGCTGAGCATAGAGCCCAACTTGGGGTGATCCTGACAACCCTGAGATCACAACCTGAGCTGAAATTAAGAGTCTGATGCTCAACTAACTGGGCCACCCAGGTGCCCCCCAGTGAGTTCCATTTTTAAAGTGCTTAGAATAGAGTCTAGACATAGTATACTCACAGAGAGTGTTAGCTGCAGTGTCTCACTCAATCCTCATGATATATTTGAAGAGCTGCGATTGACGTGACCATATTAAAATTAGTGAAATTTAGGCAAAGATAAATAAATAACTTGTCCTAAAGTACACAAACAGGAAACATGAAAGCCAGAATTAAAACCTCACACAGCCCAGTCATAAAGTAGGTGCTAGTCACTTTGTGTCCTACAGACCTTAAAGAACTGTAAAGTATATATGCTTTTAGAGTACAAAATATCCTTACCATTTCAGTCTTTTTTTTTTTTTTTTTTTGGTCTTTTCTTATTAAGGTAGCAAGAGCAGGTACAATTTAACTGGCTTGAGAAAAGTTAGCACAGGGAGCAGAATTTTGCACATTAATACATCTGGCATCTCCCCCAACCCCCATCCAGTTGATTTCATGTTCCCAAGGAAACCAAGATCAAAAGTGTGATGCTGAAAAGAAAAGAAAAAGGGAAAAAAAAAAAAAGAGAGAGAGAGAAATCCCAAATGAATCCTGTGCTCCCAGCATCTGACCACATCATCATTCTGCTCGTCTTAGGGATAAACTAGAGAGTAGAGATGACTGTATAAATCCATAATCAAAGTTCATGCCTGTCTGTGAATAGCTTCACATTGCAATGCAAAGTTCATTGAATTCCATATATAAAACCTATAGCCTATATACATTTTACTGCCCTGCTGAACCATATTCACCACAAAAATGTTAAGTTTAAAAAACACATAATATTTAAAACTTACATGTGTGCAGATTATTGTACATTTTTTTGTAATTTGAAGGCAAACCTGTGATATTCTCTTGAGAGTATTTTCAAACATACCCTCTTAACATTAAAGATAGTTGGGTGATGGTTGTAGCTTTATTCACTTAAATATATTAGTATAAAATAGTTCACAGAGATAAGATCATTTCCCAACCAGTAGCTACTTACTCCAAAATTTTCTTGTTATTGCCAACTATGGTAATCTAACATAAAACCTTAGAGATTCTTTTCTTTGAAACATCTACCATTGGAGAAAAGATCTGCTTATTCTTAAGATGTGATTGTTTTCAACTATATATTTCCATAACCACTTTTTCTTTTCCTCATGCTTACTGTGGCAAATTTCAAACCTAAACAAAAGTAGACAGATTACCCTTTCACTCTCTTCCATAGTACACGCTCAAAACCAATGTCATCTATAACTTCCCCTCACCATTATTTTGAAACCAATCCCAGATACCATATTTATTTTTCTTAACTATTTAATATAGATTCCATACTGTTCTGATATATTTTTGGAAGTTAATGCTAGTGAGGATGATTCTCCAAAAGGATTCCCTTAATGTGTTCCATGCTTAGTCACTGAGTATGGGTTTTAGTATTATCATAGTATCAGTGGATAGTACTATTTTCTGGTCTTATTTTCTCATTTCATCTTGGTCTATAATTATGTATGGAATGAGTGGTATTTATTTTTTCTGCTGCAATAGCTAGACTCATGAAAACATCCTTCCACGTGTGACTGTATAATAATGAGATCTAACACATCCAAATTAATGTTTGTCTTCAAAGTAGTCACGTTGACAGGTAATTTCTTTGTTTCAATGATGCAGCCGTTTCATAGAATGTTTTTGGAACTCCTCTTTTGTAATTGCCTTCAGAAATACTTTGAGCCACACAGAAAAGCAGGTCTTATGACTTTGGTTAAAACTGATGTCTAACAGGGGGAGGAGTCAAGATGGCGGAGAAGTAGCAGGCTGAGACTACTTCAGGTAGCAGGAGATCAGCTAGATAGCTTATCTAAAGATTGCAAACACCTACAAATCCAACAGGAGATCGAAGAGAAGAAGAACAGCAACTCTAGAAACAAAATCAACCACTTTCTGAAAGGTAGGACTGGCGGAGAAGTGAATCCAAAGCGACGGGAAGATAGACCGCGGGGGGAGGGGCCTGCTCCCAGCAAGCGGTGGAGCAACGGAGCACAAAATCGGGACTTTTAAAAGTCTGTTCCGCTGAGGGACATCACCCCGGTTAAGCCCACACAGGGTCAGCACGGCCTCAGGTCCCGCAGGGTCACAGAAGGATCGGGGTGTCTGAGTGTCGCAGAGCTTACAGGTATTAGAACAGGGAAGCCGGCTACAGAGACAGAGCCGAGGAGTAAGCTCTAAGCTCGGGGTTACCTTGAACCGGTCGCAGGCTCGGTCAGCTCGGAGTGCAGCCCGAGGCAGGGTGACGGGAGTAAATTAGCGCTGTTCTCTGAGGGCGCACTGAGGAGTGGGGCCCCGGGCTCTCGGCTCCTCCGGGCTGGAGACCAGGAGGCCGCCATCTTCATTCCCGCCCTCCGGAACTCTACGGAAAGCGCTCAGGGAACAAAAGCTCCCGAAAGCAAACCCCAGCGGATTACTCAGCCCGGTCCCTGGTAAGGGTGGTG